CTGCGATAAAATGATCAGCTGTAGCACCTACTCCACTTTTATGTTTATGTATCTATGTCATTCGGATCTTCCCAAGTTGTACAATGTACTGTTGAGATACCGAATTCAAATAAATCAATACCATACCATACCAACACACGCCTGCCCACACACGCTCTCTAAGCTGCAAAGTTCTGGCACAGAGCTCTCCTTCTCACCACCACCACCATCAGTTCGCGCCTGGCGCCTAGTCGATGCATGGTTGGCGGTATCCGACATAGCAGGCTGGTACAGCAAGTAGCGTATGGCACATAGAAGATGACACAGCAACGACATAGCTCGATTGCGACGTACGTTTCGTCCCCGCTGGACTCATCAGGCAATCTTCTTGGATGTCTTCATACGGAGCTTGACTCGGGAGAATGAAGTTGAAGACACCACTGCAGCTGTACTTATGGTTGATAAAATAAAATGGTAATGTTCGGCACAGGAAATACTCCTGTAACATAATTATCATGCTTGGTAACTGCAAGAATCTCGCAAGATTTAGTGCTGGCACTGTGTTGGCGGTGCGCGCTATCCTTCACTGCCTTGTTGACGTCACTGGTCCTATCCAGACAGGCGTCAGTGTTCATGGGCGGCCCGGACTGGGACTGAGGTTTGGCAATAGCAAAAGCATTCAGTGCCGGTTGTGACGCGGATGTGTGAACTAACTTTACTTTACATGACTTAGTCCTGTTCTTCGTCGGAGTACCTGCATGTTATGTACAATCATGTATGTACTGGGACATGTACAATCATGTACATGTGTGTACTGGGATATGTACAGTCATACTCATTCTTCATGTAGGGTTTTCATTGCCATTCAGTATTGCCATTGGTCAATGGACAAAAGGTTGGCACTGGTTGCTGGCCACTGCGAGTAGCGGGTGTGGGGAAACGTGGGAGACGCATGAAGCCATGTGGAATTCGCCTTCACATTCAACCAACATGGCCTAGCTTTCGCCCACATGATCGGATTGGGCTTTTTATTTGAAATCCGATACTCGACAGCGGAGTAAGAGCTAAAGATCAGCAATACACAACACGCCATGCATGACCAAACACCATACTCCAGTCCGCCGGTGATGGCTGCACTTGGTTCTCCTCCCCTCGGGCATACTGCACGGGATCATGTCAGAATGTGTGGCATTGCAGACTCAGCCTCTCCTTATTCGCCCTGTCTACGCTCTGATCGCGTCAGCGCCGGACCTGCAGCTGTTGCTGACGGTTCGCTGGTTCATTTCACTGCCTCGGTCAGTGCCAGGCTAAGCAATATAGAAACATAAGCACACCTGTGCCCCTGGCGATCATCCGCGGCCCTGCACAAGAATGGCACATGAATATTTGTCCAGTTACAAGTGTTTTGGATCCCCACAAGCAAGTCCAGTGTCCGTCACATCTAGCCACACAAGTGGAACGAGTAGAAGTGAAACTAACTTACTTGTAACAAGAGTATGTCGATGTTAACATGATACGTCATTTCTGATACAATTGTGTACTTTGTGTTTGCACTGCTTCTAAATCTCAGCACCCCGTCCTGACAGCGGCAACATATTAATTTGATGCATGTGCAATCACTTGTTGTTCCTACATCAGTCTGTATACGCAATGTACGCACAATATGTCTGAGAGTTATGCAGATTTCAAGTGACCGTCATATCAACGTCAATTTGTAGTGGAAAAGTGGAACGGCTCCCCCTATCCTCGGGGTATGAAAGCCACAATGTACTTGTAAAATGTCGGCAAAGAAGCATGAAATTAACGGAAACACAGGACAGTATCGGCCCTCACTACTATTGTAGGAGAGTCTTCTGTCAGTTGATACAATGTAGGTAAACGGTTTCCTAGCGCCATTATCACAGCGAAGAAGGTGATGCAACAGCCTCGCTCCTACCTGGCCTGAGTGTATGAAGGAGATGCATGTAACCAGATGTGTGTACAGTGTACTAGTCTATGCTACCAGCCCTATACTCTCTTCAGCCGTTCAGGCTGTTTTTGCTGGTGAACCTTCAAGTAACTTCGTTTCAAATCATCGGTGGCTATGGATTATGGTGAAAGAAGGAGAGCGAATGTACCTTGTCTTCCGAATATACAGCGGTAATGTCATGAACACCAAGCTGACTGATTCTCTTCTCGCCATTGCCTTGGTTCCCGTGCGTCTCTTCGTTGCCCCTCGCTCCGAGCTTCACCGGTGACATGGTTTTGATGAACGCAACTCTGCACCTTGTCCTTGGCACCTTGTCCTTGGTATGGTTTTGATACCCGCATCACCATGATCACTGCCATCACACCTCCAGCTAAAGCCGCGAAAGGCAGACGCTGCGCAGCACCAGGAGGCGTTCTTCAAGGAACTACCGGGATCTTACATGATCTTACAAGTTAGAGTTCGAAGAATTAAATATTTGGCACCATTGCATCTTCTTTCGATCTTCGTCCGATGTAACGTCAAAGTAGGTATCGTCTTATTGGATTGTCCGTATTGAACGCTCACTTCGAAGGAAATGACTTCGATAAGCCATGTGTTGCGGCGATGAATGTCGGCGAATCGCTCTGTCTTCGTGGTCGGTTCCTGCGAGTATAAATATGTATGTATGATGTAGCCTCGACCCTCCACTGATCCAGACTTCAGGCTCACTGCAGTTTTCAGAGAAGTCGTTATTAATTATTTTGGTCAGTCATGAGTCAGTTCCATGCAGTCAAAGTATCATTGTGGTGCTCAACGTTACGTCTTGGGTTATGCTCTGTGCCGCGCCATATGCATGCCAAGATTCTGAGCATACTCCAGTACAGTACTAGTAGCTGCTGTTCATCCGCTTTATCATTATGCAGCTCATGGCCATAATTACTGGCTGCGCTCAATCTGACGGCCACCAGGGACTCTCTACCGTTCCGGCATTCTCTTTGTAAGTGCACTACTACTAGTACTAGCACTAGACTGAGTGAAGTATTGTTTATGTTCACTGTCAAATTGTTACGCTGTGTTTTCGGACAGAAAGCGCCAGAAGGCAAATAATTCGACCGAGCTGAGAGTTTGTCTTTTGACTCTTTTCGGTACTGTCAGAAATCAGACACATGTGTAATCAGAGAGTCAAAGGCCGTTCAAGTCCGGCTCTCTGGTTGCGTTTACCATTCTGTACTGTGTACGGTCCTTTCGCCATCAGCCTGAGTCACTTTTTTCTCGAAATAGTTAACACCTTTTGTAGATGACGTGGCTTTCTTTGGAAGCCGGAATGATCAGAGCATTCCAGGCGCTGCTGCCAACGACTACGATTCTCACCTACATCATGTAGATCTTCATATGATCATGTATGTATGTGTTGCATGATACATTGATAGCGGCTCATGGAAGCCATGATGGAGTAGTAAAATAGCCGTAGAAGTATCGTACCACCCAGCGCTGATTCATGCGACGTCATTGACGTCACTCAGAACTGTGCGGTGACCATTGCGGAGACGCATACATCACGGTCCCGCCAGTATGTCTACACTTGTAGTTTGCACATCTTCAGGGATGTTTGTGACCGGTCAGCAATGCATGCGAAGATAGGTTATCAAGGCTGTAGTCACGGGCAGAGTATATAAACATGATTATCTCTTGAGAGGAGGCCGGGCCATGTAGTCACATGACCAGTATGTTCTTTCACATCATCCAATCAACGCTAGTTGCGAACACTGACCAAGCTGCACAACTACAGCACGGTCTGGCAATGCCGAAGAACGACCAGGCTAGAATTTCACCAAGCACAGCATACCAATGTACTGTACATGTACACACGGTGACTCAACTGAGCATAGACTGTAATACATGAAAATACAGTCGACCTACCCTTATAACGATATTTTTCTGGCAAACCAAATCACTCCATTGACTTGTGTATACAATGCCTTACCTCTATAACAATATTGCTATAACGATATTACCCCTACATGTATAACGATATAAAATGGGCTGACCAATCAACATTTTCCATTTTATAACAATATCTAGCAGGGGATATGTAGAGCCCACTATCACCTGCCTGAGGTAGGGCAAGCTTCACTTGATAAGTCGCTGGGACATGACGAAATCCAATGGGGGCACCAGTAGGCACCTTGTTGTGTACACAATGGGCATGTACGTCAGTCTTATGCTATAAAGAGTGTAAAAAAATGAACAAAATCCATGCATTATGACGTATGTGTATGAAATGAACCAGTTACCCTTATAACAATATTACCCTTATAACAATATTTCTTGGTTTGACGCAAATATCGTTATAAGGGTAGGTCGACTGTACCGTACTTCCGCACATATAAGCGCATGGGCTTCTACCCGAACATGTTCACACAGCAAAAGATCTTTGTTGTAGCAAATTTTCACTTGTAAAGCCCATGCGCTTTTATGTGGGGAAGTACGGTAAGAATAGTCCAGGCTAGGAGGCTGCCCCCCCCCCCCCCCCCCCCCAGGGTTCTTCGGCGACCGACAGTACTGTGTTGACAATGGCAGATTGTAATCATTGTATGTGTATGCATGGTTGAGGACAGTGGGAAGATGAGGTTGATCATGATGGCTTATAATTAGAAGAAGGATGCCACCAATGTATAGTAGTGCCACTTGTGGAATAGTGCCCCCCCCCCCCCCCTTCTGGTTGGTGAGCTGGGACAGCTAGCTACAGGCCCAGGGTGGCTGGTTCACCTTAAACCTCTTTTCTTCATTTTTCAAGTCCCTCAAACTAACTTGTGAATAGACACTACACCACTAAGTGTTACTTCATTACCCAGTGTTGCATGCAGTGGCAGCCATCCTTCTGAAGCATATTACCATGGTTACAAGGAGACCTTGGAAAGGATGAGTCTGGAGATGAACAGATTGCCTGCCTGATAAGAGCTGGGTAAGACCACGCTGAACACTACCCCGCTGCACATATCCACGTGATAATTCGTTATTGAAAAGTCAACTGTTGCAGCGACAAATTCACTCCAGAGCGAAGCTGACCAAGGAAGGAAGAACATGGCGCTGGGAATTTGGAAACAAACTTCTAACGAAATTCTCATGACGGAAAGAGAAATGCTATGTAACAGCTACGATGTCGGATTTAGAATATGATCAGGCTGGCATGTAAGTAGGTGAGAATATGTTGCAAATAATTGCCAATCCAAGAATTAGGATACTCCTAGCTGAGACGTGATTATAATCAAAGGAGCCGCAAGCTTAGAGAGCAGACATGTAATTGTAACTCAGTGTACTGCAAGACACAGATCTCATACACCCGGGCAACACTGGCTGAAGAGCAAAATTAATAATGTCAGGTTCACTGCGGCTTATAGCTTGGCCTTCAAAGCAGTATCTATCCAGGGATGGCAATTGGAAAGGGACAACTGAGCACAATCTAACTAAATGTTGGTCATTTTTAAGATGAAACAGTCTTGGCTTCAATATTCAAGAACCTCGACCATCAAAGGATGGTTGAAGTTGGTGGTGGCGTTAGTACTCTTCTTGCTCCTGATCTGCCTCAACTGCATAGTCCGGGTCCAAGTCCCCCAGCTCTCCTTCGCCTTCGACTACGTAGGAATCTTGGATGTTGTGCAGGCCTTCGTCCTCTACGTCCTCTACATCCTCGATCTCTACTTCGCCTTCTTGCGCTACAAATCCCTCCTGGACAAACAGAACATTGTACAAGCACAGACACACACGAACACACACACGAACACATACACAGACACACAGACACACGAACACACACACACACACACACACACTTAGACTCAGACATGCCCATCGCGGAAGCGATGATAGCGAACAGCTATGTTAGACATAGCAGCTTGTGCTAGGATTACACCATTCAACAGCTTGCAAGGTTGATGAATTGACAGCCACTAATTTTAGCCTGGTGTCCAGGCTGCACAGCTGATTGCTGACACACACACACACACACACACACACACACACACACACACACACACACACACACACACACACACACACACACACACCATTGGACCATTGGACGCCCATCGCCAGAGGCGATGATCGTGATGCTACAGCAGAAGCTATAGCAACTTGTGCTGGGATTGCACCATTCAACAGCTTGCAAGGCTGAAGAATTGGCCGCCACTATTCAGCCTGGTCTACACCACACAGCTATGAAGTGGCTTTTTCTGGCCAGTGAATCCCTACTTTTTGGTCTTTTTTATTTTTTTCCCGCACACACATCACACCAGACACGCACGCACGCACGCACGCACACACACACACTGGCCCAAATATGAAGGGCAGGTGGGCGAAATCACAACAGGTGATGAACACCATAAAGCCAAGACCTAAACGACCTATGATTCAACGTTGAGATTGAGGGTGGCATTTCATGGATTGGACATTATTTTCAATGTCTGAGGGAGCGAAATTGCATCTCATGCACCTCTACACTCAATACAGAATAAGAGACGCCGGTACTGAACACACTGTAACACAATTCCCACAGTTCACATCCCTAGATAGTATAGGCTGCTGAATGAGCATTTCAAAGTGACCACTGCTTTGGCAATGGTAGTGCCAAAGAGCAACACAAAAATTCACCATTCGCGTGAGACTCGGCTGGAGGCCGAGTTTGCTGCATCCGTAGGAACGCCACCACCCTCTGTGGATCAAGACGCAGATGCAGCTCCTAAAGCAACAAACCATGCCTCAAATGGCACAGCTCGCTGCATGAGAGTGCAGTGTATTTACCTCTGTGGCGTAAAGCACCTCCAGAATTCTAGCCATGCCCTCGTTGTTCTCGTGTTCCGGCTCCTGGCAGATCTGCTCCACTTGGTGCAGCTTGCCAAAGTAGAAATCGCGCTCGTGTTCCGTAGTCTCGATAGTAGTGGTTAGCGTCGACACCTGACACACAAGAACAGAATAATCCGATTCTGAAGTCAGCAAGTCAACCAGAACTTGAGAACATTCCCGTACTTGCACTTGCAGAGCTGGATCCTGAAGGTTGCCAAGACAACTGTCATCGTACACGCTCGGGTCACAATAGCACTACATCCCGACCCAAAGTCACTTCTGCCGCCACCCCCCCCCCCCTCCCCCGACCTCAGAAACCATATCGTGCGATTAACAAGACCACAATGAACCCCCGGAATGATGGGTAAGTTAGCATGCAAAGGATAGACTCTGTAGACCACATACTTGACCAACTAGAGCACTCCTGTGCTAAGGTTCAGAGAGTCTATTTCTAGAAACTCCTAAAGTTGATACTGGGGCACTCCCAGCTTTAGCCAGACACACAACATACGGAAACTGGCTTGTTAGATGTGCATGAATGAAGTAATCAATGGCTTAGGATTTCGACAAGCATTCTCCCGGCCGGTGCAAACCCATACCTGCTCTTGCAGTTGTGCAATTTCCGCCAAGAGTTGAGGATCGGGTTCAGCAGGAGCGGCCGGAGCTGCTGGTTGGGAATGATGAGCTGCCGCCGCCGTCCGAACAGGTGCTTTCTTCACAGCTGCCGGAGCTGCTTTACCTGGGAGAAAGGCAGGCAGAACACACGATGACACTGGTCGAAAATCTACTCTCATATCGGGTTATTTTGGAGCTAAGCCAAAAATGTACATGCACAAATAAATATGCAACAAACTGGGTTGGAACGTCAACACTATAGTCGAACATGTGTAAAGTTTGATGGAAAATGGCCGGAAGGTTGAAAGTGATTTCAACGTGTTGGCTGCTGTGCGCATGCATGCTCCACCCATGTCCACAGCAGGCTGGAAATATGCGCAGTGACGCAACTTTTCCGCTTTTATTCTGTGTGCAGGCACTTCTTGGTCTTTTATTAGAAAAGGAACATGTGTTTAAGAATGGACTCGGATGGAGAGCCAAGGATATATTTATTGTAAAGAAAAAAGGACCAAGAAACCACGAGTTACGATACGTCAGTCAGTACCGTGCAATGTTATCGCATGAGCTGATTGTTTAGTAACTGGTGGTGTTAGTGGACATTATAGCGTAACTCGTAGTTTCTTGGTCCTTTTTTCTTTATTATAAACATGTGTTTAATTCGTTCTTTTAATAGAAAAGGAGCATGTGTTTAACATATCAATAGACTTGACTTTGAGCTGTTATGCTGCAGGAGATACGACGACAAGAACCGTTGAAAATTAGAAATCAGCTAGTGGTGTCATACATGTACGTCTGACGAAACTATGGCCCAGCAGCCCATATTGTGTGATTTTTGCTCGGACGATTGCTTTGGCTTGCTTCTACAGTCCCTTTCATACCCCACACTAGAACAGAGCCAGGATATCGGACTAGCTGCAGTCACATAGTAGTCATAACCGAAAACAAGGTCAAAGACAAGGTTGCACCGACGGGTCTCCATCGCCTGTCACTACTGCTCTGTACACATTGTTATTGCAAGTGGTTTCAGCTGTTATGTTAGAGCCAGTCTTCGCCCCGAGTCGTTGGTACGCGGTACGAAGTTGGCGTTTATCGTGTCTCACCACCTCTTCAGTTTGTTGTTGTTGTTGTTGATTTTTATTTTACTTCGCAAGGCCAAACGAGCAATGGTGCCCAATTCTATGGAAGCGAATTTCAAAGGGGAGAGAGCTACGGAGAGAGAGAGAGAGAGAGAGAGAGAGAGAGAGAGAGAGAGAGAGAGAGAGAGAGAGGGAGGGAGGGAGGGAGGGAGGGAGGGAGGGAGGGAGGGAGAGAGAGAGAGAGAGAGAGGGAGCGAGAGAAAGGGGGAGATAGATAGCGAGACACAGAGAGGGAAGTAGTGAGGTTGGGGGCATCGGAGCTAGGGTGGTGGGCGCATCAATGTGTGGTTGAGGGTAGCAGCGAAGAACAAATTGCTATGTAATTTAGTCTAATAAGCGATTTTGCAGCGTCAACAGAGCGATTTTGCAGTGTCAACAGAGCGATTTTGCAGTGTCAACAATGGGAACACAAAGATATCCGACTCGTACATTAAAACTAGGCACCGAAATCGACTTCTAATAGGTCACTACACCCTCCAACAGTTATTTCGTTTATCGTTATGTGCATGTACGGGTAGTTGCAGTTCCATAATGCTGCTGATCACTTACTTGCCGGTGAGCTCTGCGCAGGTTTTCTTGCCGCTGGCGCAGCTGCTGCCTTCGTGGCCGGACTGCGAGCCGCCGGAGACCTGGCTGTGCTGCTGGATGCAATGCCCGTCCTGGGTCGAGAAGCACCACCACCGCCGGTACCAGTACCGTCGCCGACAACCAGACCGCCACGTGCTGCCAGGCCATCGTACTCCTTGCCGTCGTAGTTGACATCGAAGAGGCGCTTGAACCACTGCACAAACTCAATGTTGTCTTGAAAGCGCCCCTTGATCAACTTATCCATGGGAATGGGCTGTGCAATCAGAGACAGAAAAGGGATACAATTGCACACAACTGGCATGGTACAAGTTATGAAGGCAACTGTCAAGAAATGGCTGTCAAAGAAGTCAAAGCAGAGACTAGAGACATCACCGTTATTTGTTGATTCCGCGATCGGATGGTTGACACAGATTCACTGGGCCATGTTATGTTAGTAAGTATCATTATTATTCACAGACTCAATAAGAGACACGACATTGCCAGGAAATGTAAATGGCCATTGCCACTACGACAGGAAAAGAACCACTGTGAACAGCAGCCTGTGTGTGCATAATCACATGCGTATGCAGTAGAGTATGCGTGGGCATGTGTGCAACGAGAAGTGTGCACGTGTGTATACATGTACATGCCATAAAGGGTACTCATCACTACCATAAATACCTACATCATAGTGCGTGGCAAGAGTGTGTAAGCTAAAGGGGTGCATGATTTAATGCCAGCACACTGTATGCTGTACAAGCATGGCAAAGTCCACATAATTATATGTATCTGAAGATCCTATCAAATGAGTCTAGGGTGCCCTGCACCATACCATAAAGAACCGTCGACTGGCTCCCTTGGAGAAGGCATTAGAGCAGGCATCAACACATTGAGCTACATGCAGCAGCATTTCTATTCTTCCCTACTGAGGCCAGCCTGTGCATGGCTCGGGGAAGATTACTGTCAGCATTGAGCTCACCTTGTCGACTCCCTGAGTTCTAAACGAATGCTGTAACAACTTGAAATTGGAAATGTACTCATGCTCCAACTTAGTGTTGAACTTGACACGCTTGAGTGGAACAGATCCTGGAATAGAAGAAATGATCATATTACAGAGCATTCTAACACACCTGGGCCCTACGAGAATATCAATCATATTATCAAACTATTTGTTACGAAGTGTGAAGATGTTGAACGGTCTCTGCTGGGATGACGGCTACACCAAAGCTCAGTGGTTAGGACCTCGTTAGCCTCAAGTGAAGGTCCCTGGTTCCAGTCCTGGTGGTGACATTCTTCAGACTTTTCCCATTTACATCGTTCCCTCAACCCAGTGAATAAACGATTCCTTCTTCAAGCAATCGGCGTAGACAATAGAACACAGTTATCATAGTTAGGTTGTATGGCCATGTTCGCAACTTTCATAACATCCAAAACTCTCATTCCGTATTCCTTGGACATGCATCAAGTTCAAGATAGACGTCTGCGTAATGAAAGCTGTATGAAAGACGGACAGCTCTCAGGTGCTGTTGTTGTTAATGGAGACCAAGTGGGCCTGCCCGATGAGGTGACGATGCAGTTGTGGAAGGGTTATGTTCTGAAGAATGCAACCTGATTATGAAATTCTTATATGAGTTACCGGTATGCACTTTCTCCACTTATAGATGCCCCCCCCCCCCCCCCCATCCCTCCTTCACCTCTGGACAGGTTAACGACCCAAGAAACTTGAATACAGCTCTGGCACAGAGTCCTCAGCCGCATTCTTCCACCATAGGCCACTATACCTGAGAGAACTACTGGTATCATTCGACACCATGCACAGCACATTGTCAATGACCTCCATTTTCCAAAATGCATACAACCGCTGAGAAGTGAAGGTCTTACCTGGAAAGAGAAGGTCCATGAACTGGCAGTACGCTGCACCTGCAACAGTAGCATGGATATGTCGTAATTCGCATGTTAACATTACACATAACTTACAAAGTACAATACGAACATACAGCTTACCATCAGTTCCTACTTCTTTTTCATGTTATGGTTCATTAGAATGCTCCGCAAGCATAGGAGATACTACTCCATCAAATTAAGCACAGAAGAACAAATGAACAAAAAGTTGGTGTTGTTCTTCCTTCTCACATAAGGCATGAAATCTACAAGACCATGCTCAAGGGCAGCTAATACATCTGGGCATGCCGCACCAGAGGAGCAAGAGGTCAACAGTGGATGACTTCATGCACATTCTGACATGTATGCACGACGCTCTTGTTGTGTTATTACTACACGTAGAGGGCAATGGGCAATGGGCACGACACCCCCGAACAGGTGCATACTGTAAGAAACCTATTGGCGAGTTCGGTGATGTCATATCTTAAACAATATTGTCCACGTTGGTTTGAAGTAGACTTGCCCCAGGCTTGCTGGAGACCATACTCCTGCCTTTCACTTTCCATGATGCAGTCTATCTGCCGAGTGCAGGTATTGCATAAACCGAGTAGACCCGTCACGCGGGGGTTAGTGTGCACGCTGAAGCAAATGCTTACCAAGAGATCGCAAATACCTGGATATCCAATCACTGAGTACACCCTGAACATCATGTCATGGTATCTCAATAGTCAATACGCCGGCATGTTACTGACTGCTAGGCAAGCAGTGCCTTGTATGTACGAGTATGCTGCTTTTTTTCCTTTCCAGACTCATTCCGTGGGTTGGAACCTGCTGTTATTCTCGTACGGCTATCCATTGACATACCACTACTGCAACACGGTATGTAGTGATGCATTCCTCTTCCTTGAAAAATGAATTCAATGACCCTGAAGTCCATTCAGTGACGCTAGGACAGAATGAGGCATTTCAGAAAGAGAACGTTGAATGTTCCCATCAAGAAGGGCAAGGAGTTACCACCAAGTAGTTAAAGGGGAAGTTAAGGCAAAAACTAAAATTTCACCAGTTGTAGTCTTCGAGGTGCTGAGTCGAATGGTCTTGGTCCGAGAAAGCTGAGACGCTCCCTTCCTACTTGAATCCCGATCGAACTCGCGCACTTCCACCGAAACTGGGTGACTGCGCCCTACTAGATGGGGATTTGTATGCAAAATGTCACTAAAAGCGCCATTTCGTTCTTATAAAAGCACGGATGACCGCGATTGGCCCATATGTTGTAGTCTTTTGGACGCTGAGTCGACTGGTTTTGGTCCGAAAAGGCTGCGATGCAGCGTTCCTCCTTTATTCCCAATCGAACATGGTTGAACAAGCGGTCATGTGCTCCTGGGTGCCCAAATCACCTGGTCACCACGCCAGCAGGCGACAACTTTCACACCAAGGTTCAACTCGAGTTCAACTCGAGTGACAGCACTGCACCCAAAAAAGGTCAAACAGGCTAGTAAGTTGTACCCTGCAGGCACGGTGACCAGGTGACTGGCGTACGCAGGAGCACGTTACCGCTTGTTCAACCATGTTCGATTGGGAATAAAGGAGGAACGCTGCATCGCAGCCTTTTCGGACCAAAACCAGTCGACTCAGCGTCCAAAAGAGTACAACATATGGGCCAATCGCGGTCATCCGCGCTTTTATACGAATGAAATGGCGCTTTTAGTGACATTTTGCATACAAATCCCCATCTAGTAGGGCGCAGTCACCCAGTTTCGGTGGAAGTGCGCGAGTTCGATTGGGATTCAAGTAGGAAGGAAGCGTCTCAGCTTCCTCGGACCACGACCATTCGACTCAGCACCCCGAAGACTACAACTGGTGAAATTTTAATTTTTGCCTTAACTTCCCCTTTAACTACCCGCTGTGCGCTTAGCCTGGCACTGGCCATGTACAGTGTTCGGGAAAAACATTGATCGCCAGGCAGAGTGCTGCTCTACACCTCGTCACATTCAATAGCCTTGTCAGGCAATAGGGCGACAGCCAATGTCAACAGCTGGTCATAGACCCTACCGCAAGTCAGCAGCAGCACTGCCATAGTCTGTATGCTTATTACTCCTGACTAAATGGGCCGATGCCCATGCCAGGGATCAATAATGGATCCTAATTTCGCTCATGCTGGCTTTCCATTCCTCACATGTCTTCATCCAAGGAGGATGAAGACTATCCACGGAAGATGAGACTATCCAAGGAGGATGAAGACTACCGAACTACTGCTTTAGAAAAGTAAAGCAAAGTAAAGTAAAGTCACATTACTGTACCAAACACGGACAGCTTGGTGGACTGCTGCAATCGGACTGTGCATGCTCATGCATTACACCATGGCCAGCGGTTGCAACTCGGGCGATCACCAACAAGGGGTGTTCCCTAATACCCTATCTGGGGTGTTCCCTATCTGGGGTGTTCCCTATCTGGGGTGTTCCCTAATACCCTATCTGGGGTGTTTCCTATCTGGGGTGTTCCCTAATACCCTATCTGGGGTGTTCACCTGTCTTGTACAGCAACACTGTATAACTGCTAGCCCACTACTGCAGTACCGTAGAATCCCGCGGATAAGCCCATGGGCTTATCTGTTTCACAAGGACATTTCGGTGGGCTTATACGAGAACATGGGCTTATACGCGGGCATGGGCTTATACGCCGACACCAAGTTGTGCTATTGAAAAGTACCAAGAAAGGGAGAAGTGCATTGCTGAAAACCGCTGTGCAAACAAAAACAACCGATGATTGTGCTGAAATGTACGAAAAAAAAGCTGTAACATGCATGACTACGTACCTGGTATGGCCAATAGTCCATAATTTATGGACTCTCGGTATGACCTAGGCCCATGGGCTTGTACGATGAAGCTTTGTGATGTTCGAACAAACCCTGGGCTTATGCGCGAGCATGGGCTTATCCGCGGGATTCTACGGTAGTGGAACAACAATGTGCAGTACTGCACATTGTTGTTCCACGTGAGCCCAGCTACATCATCAGCATTTCGCCAATAATAATAATAATATGAAATTTTGCGTTATCATGTTTTAAAGGGGAAGTATACCCTAAAATCAAATTTTCACCAGTTGTAGTCTTCGGGGTGCTGAGTCGAATGGTCTTGGTCCGAGGAAGCTGCGACGCTCCCTTCCTGCTTGAATCCCAATCGAACTCGCGCACTTCCACCGAAACTGGGTGACTGCGCCCTACTAGATGGGGATTTGTATGCAAAATGTCACTAAAAGCGCCATTTCGTTCTTATAAAAGCACGGATGACCGCGATTGGCCCATATGTTGTAGTCTTTTGGACGCTGAGTCGACTGGTTTTGGTCCGAAAAGGCTGCGATGCAGCGTTCCTCCTTTATTCCCAATCGAACATGGTTGAACAAGCGGTCACGTGCTCCTGGGTGCCCAAATCACCTGGTCACCGCGCCAGCAGGCGACAACTTTCACACCAAGGTTCAACTCGAGTTCAACTCGAGTGACAGGACTGCACCCCAAAAAGGTCAAACAGGCTAGTAAGTTGTACCCTGCAGGCACGGTGACCAGGTGACTGGTGTACGCAGGAGCACGTGACCGCTTGTTCAACCATGTTCGATTGGGAATAAAGGAGGAACGCTGCATCGCAGCCTTTTCGGACCAAAACCAGTCGACTCAGCGTCCAAAAGACTACAACATACGGGCCAATCGCGGTCATCCGTGCTTTTATAAGAACGAAATGGCGCTTTTAGTGACATTTTGCATACAAATCCCCATCTAGTAGGGCGCAGTCACCCAGTTTCGGTGGAAGTGCGCGAGTTCGATTGGGATTCAAGTAGGAAGGGAGCGTCTCAGCTTCCTCGGACCAAGACCATTCGACTCAGCACCCCGAAGACTACAACTGGTGAAAATTTGATTTTAGGGTATACTTCCCCTTTAATATTCACATCATGACATGACGTGCTTTGCTACATTGTTATTATTAATTATTATTAATTATTAATTATTTACACAACAGTGATTTACATCATCTCAAGAATGCTGAAATCAGGCAGCATCATTCCCATCCTGACAGACATGTCATGCATTCGGACAAATGTTAGCGTATAGCACAACACAGTGTGCAAAGATCGTCCCAAAAGAGTTGACCATTCAAGCAAGAGCCAACAAAATCCATGCAACTGCGAGCCACGGACATAGATCTACGCGTAGTGAATTCAATTGGTTACACTAACCCGAGCAGAGATGTTCGACTTTGGTGAGGTTCATGGTTAACGTCTCGTTCACCCAGCACAGGATCTGGTGGCGACTTAGATTGTCCTTGGACACGGCCGTGTGGAATACGTTAACAGCCATGACTTGGAAGCACAGCTGATCGACTAAACGAACGCTATCAAACAGGACTACCTACAAATTATCAACACCCTCACCGAGCAGGCCGCAATGGCAATGGCAATGGCAACTGCACAGTAAAGAAACTAGATAAGGGTGCGGATGCGGTTAGCAAAGCCAATGTCACATTTAGCGCTAGAGCCTCGGGTTCTAGGTGGAAACTGAAGCGCTGAAGTGAAGGCTCCGTCAGAAGGTCGCAGCTCAACAAGTAAGCACTGACTGACTGAAGAAGCAGCGCTCATCACATGCACAACGCCACAAGGACGTAGATAGTACAGACGTTAGTACAGACTCAGTGCAGACCGTTATGGCGTTGATCTACACTACATCAGTACAATCATGTAGATCTACACCGACTGGCACACTCGGCATGCAGCATGCGGCAGAGTTTAGCACTACAAATAAAATAATGCAGTGACCTGGACATGTGACCGATACTGTGTCAGAGTGTACGTGTGATAGTGGTACATGTACCGACAAGGCCAGACAAGACGTGATCGCGAGACCCACGAGGTATTTTTTACACGAAACTGGGCGTAGATTCTACGACTCCTTTCCATCCTTCTATTTTCCAGGATTCACATCCTTCTATTGGAGAGACTCGATCCCATGATAAGTATCCATTCACCTCTGGAGAATCCGTAAATAAACAATACAATACGCGCGCAAAACCCGATTCGCCAAGCGCGGACGAACGATCGATGGCATTTTAGGATTCTAGCAGATCTGCCCTCACGGCCTCAGTAAAACGTCATGGGTTGGCGAACCACCGATGCATCCTCCTATCTATGGTGGTGAACCAGGTCAGGAGCCAGGAGATGAACTAACTTACTTGTGCCTGGTTATTGGTAACGCCCGGAAGTTCAGTGAACTTCCGGCTGAAGACATACTATACTACAGGTAGACTCCCTTTAATTCGAACCTCAAATTGCCAGGCCCTAACTTCGAATTATCCAGAACTTCTAATTATCCAAATGCAGCCCCATGCACTGATATGTATGTCAAAATGCTTGAAATCGCATGCTGAATATTTTTTGCACATTTTTATTTGCATCAACGAAACATAGGTACGGGTCATGTACAACGGATCATCAAAACACTGGATCGACACAAAATCATTTTGACATTATCTTCATCTTCTAGTGAAGAAGTTGTCAGTCACTGCAGCTTTCCTGAAACAATTTCAACGGAAAAGAACCATGAGAACTGCGCTGCCTAATCCGCGTCATGAAAGGCCGTTGGACAGCAGTACGTCGTTCTGAAGAACGGAAGTGGAGCAAAGGCATAGACAATATTTACGACAATAGTGTTGTTGTGCGCCAACATCTCCGCGCACGAGCTGGCGTGGTAAGAAAGGCCATCGAGATCCGCGAAGAGAGTCAGCCACCTGGAAGAAGTCGTCTTCAATCAAACCTTTGCAATTTGCCTCGCACGGGCTTGAATCAAATTTCGAGAGAAGGTGGGTTTCTTGAAAGCTATAGTCGATCCTGCAGCGGACCATCGATCGATTTTTGAGCTACTCTTGGCTAGAGAAGGAGAAAAGAATGAACTTCGAATTACAAGGATAGCAACTCAATCTCACTTCGAAATAAGCGTTCAAAGGACATAGCCAATGTACTGTAAACAGCTCTTCTGTACGAAGACTGGGTTCGAATTATCCAACCGGCGCACTTTTCGTACTTCGAATTATGCATTCGATTTTGACTTGAAGTGACTTGCAGAAGATCGGTACGACGAAAAAGTTCGAATTACACGGAATGTTCGAATTATACCGTATTCGAATTAGAGGGAGTCTACCTGTAGTACTAGTAGATCTACAGCTGTAAAAAGTACAATAATTGAATAAAGCCAACAAATAATTATTATTGTAATGATTATGTGAAGTCTACAGTGTAAACTAGGCTAAAGGCATTCCACGTAACCGCTGAACCATTGCTCCGGAAGGACAAGGAGCGATCTCGCATTGTGGTTGGGCGGCATTTGCGACGGTGAGCCGCTAAAGAGTGAAGTACAATCATGTAACTGCAAGTAACTAGTTAGTTGTGGAAAGTGAGAGCGCGAATGCAGCTTTGCAAACGTCAGTTGGTGCGGGTTGCGATGCATTGGTGTCCCACCACGGCACCAGGTGCTAGTTGAGAAGAACCGACTTGCCCTGTCACCCTTCTCTTCCAACGCTACAGCATCACACCATTCTGAATACCGAGGCGGCGTCTCCATGGGCAAGCTACCTAGTACTAGTAGTAGTCCAGGAATTTCAATTCTCAGTTGATGTCAGTTCAGTTTTAGGAGCTCCTCGATTTTCGTCTTTCAAATATTGAGAGATTAGGAGCCGATTGCCGAAGACCTTGAAGACCACTGCCATTGGAGAGCTTCAAGGAAACTGTGCACGCCTCTTCCCTTGCCGCCCGGCCTTACTGAGGTATGTGTGTTTACACGAACTCGTCGTGCACACAAGGTTTGCCGGAAATGCTCACGGTAATTCTGTTGCTCTGTGGATGTGTTGTCCAGATATGTCTGTCCGCGGCACAGCAGTAACAGTTGCAGTCAGTGTGTATTTTCCTTCAACGCAAATGCTGGCAGGAAAGAAACGTTACGGTCGCCCGGCCGGGAAGCTTCGTCGCACCTGTTTCCCATAGGCATAGCTGTGACAAAGCGCTCAAACCCACGTACCACGGCACGAGTATCTATGAAGCTGCGACCGAAGTAAGTACACGGGCACTTCAGAGCGCTCCCTTCTTTCTTCATCCCTATCTTACTAATTCTTAGTAACCAACAGACTCTTTTTACGGGCAAACAAAACACATTTTGCAATTCATGGAAGAGTAGAACACAATGCAAGTACTGAAAACAATTACATGAAAGGAAGAATGGGATAAGTAAATTGGAACCCTACTTGAATACAGCAAAATTCAATGAAGTGAGCACTGTCATAGAATACGAATGCCATACACTCTCAGTAGTATGACAGAAAGGAAACACGCAATGAGAAGTGACATAATGTACCTAACAATGTCAAACTCCGGCACACCACAGGAATTGACTACAACCTACCCTCGGCCATCACCAAGGGGCGCAGGGCATTGGTAGGGCGATGATACGCCGAGCGCGGTCCTCTTACGCACTTAATGGCTGCGCAAAGCAGCGCAAAGGATAGCCGACATCGCAGGTATGCATGCCATCACTTGCCATAGGGCTTGCAGTCATGCTGCGCCAACATGCCACACAAGCGCTTCAGAAACCGCGTACATTCTGGGGATGTGCTGCCAGCCGTGGCAAAGACAAGCGGAGTAAATTTCCCACGATCAACATGCGCAATCCTTTCATTACACTGCAATTTCTTGTGCATCACGTGTTGCAAAAAAAGGGTGGTAATATTTCTACTAGCATATGAAGCTGCATCTGGATGGAACACTCGTACATCAAGAAATGTGTTTTGCGCATGAGTCCAAAACCCTCGAGTGTCCGACCTTGCATCATTGGCTGTGATCGTACTGGCTGCAGTGAATACCTCACCATGGACGGGAGCTAACAAAGGTTCAACCGCTACATCTTGGCAAACTTAAGTTAGCAAATCAGCAATGATGCCACGCACTTCATTGTGCCTGACGGTGGGGAAGCCCCCCCCCCCCTCCGTCGGACAACACATGGCATGTGCTGGAGTGAAATCCTTGCCCCAGACACACGTTGATGGTACATTTTTCAGAGGCCATCCATACCTCAATGCAATCACGGAAGTCACATCTCGACAGGCTGAAACCATGCTCATTCAAGGGCAGAGTGTTCAGCCAGCTAGAGACACCCTTACTGGCCTTAGCAGAAAGATGCTCCAGCTGGCGAACAGTTGATGTATCTAGGGTCCTATAAAACAGAGAAGTTCTAGGCTGTCCAAGAGAGTGCTCAATATCGAGAGGTAGAGCTGGTTCAAACAATAGGAGGACAGAGAAAGTGTTTTTACTCCGAGTTTCACGCACTAAGCGATCATCAGAAAACAGTTATGAGAAATCAGTATTGGTTTATATACTCACAAAGCAAAGTGTAAAGAGCTGCAGCATGGCACAAATCTAAAAGTTGTGAATGGCGGCAGTGCAAAGCGTGAATGACTGCATCATGAGGCAAATCCTAAAGTAAAAGTGAATGACAGCAGTGGTGAAAGGTGACAACCACTGGAGCCGGTTGTCTCTTACTTAATTAGGTGATGGCTGTGGATGGTTTGAAGTTCCGAAGGTAGTACTTATTCTCGTGGCGACACTTTGACACAAGTTCGCTCCTTTTGTTGAGAGAGAGGTGCCTGGGTGCTTGCGCGATTGCCAATTTTTCTGCCAGGCACAGGTTGCACCTTTTGCTTTTGTTGCTGTAGGCCGCTGCTCTGCGGTGTGCCGCCCATTGAATACTGCATGCCTTCCCTTCATCCTTTTTGGCCCAGACGTACTGCGATGGACGGGTGTCCTTCTCGTGTTGTCTGTGGCGGAATGAGGATTGGTGGTTATAGTAGCGTTGTTTGAATGTTGTTGCTGTTAATCCAGTATACTCCTTTTTCTCCATACCTGCGGTGACTATTGCCTTATACACGATGCTCACCATTAGACACGCTCCGTCCAGTGGACATGAGTCTTTCGCCCGACACTTACAAGTCCTGGTGCCGTTGTCACCTCCGTTAGCTTGTTTCTTGGGTCCTAGAATCGTGTTATTGTGTTTGATGATAGTGGCCATATTCTGTTCTAGGGTCCTACGCACGTCAACACACCGCAGGTTATCGATTTCCATATGACGATTTGCAGCAGCCGCTTTGGCACGCTTGGCGAAATCACAGGCCATTTCAATAGAAACGGATGGAGATGAAGACGGTCGTTCTGCCGCAGTGTCTCCTCCACCTGGACCACTGTTATTGTCCTGGAGGCTTCGAGTTCTCCACCGGCCATCTAGACGAGTGACGGAATCGCATGGCCACCTGAGCCAGTCGGGAGCTGCAAGACAGTGATCTCAGTCTCGGAGAATGCCTCCCTGCCCGTCATGGTGGGTAATAATGTAGTGTTGATGACGCCATCTAATTTCGCCATCTAAGTTTTTCATGTTGGAGATACTTCTCCCGGCCATTATGGTCGCGGCTTCATTGCAACCTGAGCCCTCCACAAAAACAAAAGGCTACAGAACATATGCAAGGGGTTGCGGGATATCATTTGACTCCGTCAAGCTAGCGATACACTTGATGTTCAAACTTGAAG